ACCCAGTTTGTCTCCCACTACAGTGGAAGCTGGAGGGAGACGTGGTGTCTCTCCTCCTGCCTCACCAGCCCTTACTCTCCACAGCTGCTTTGCAAGAGTCCGCCTTACCAATACTTTATCCTCTTCACTACGCTGCTGCTGCCCCAACGGGATTTTGGACATGTGGAGGCCGATGTGGTTTGGGCGGGGATGGGGCTGAGATCTGCACAAGCCTGTGGCGATGGATGGGACTGTGCACGGAAAGCAGCACAAACCAGCGCTCGCTGCCTCTTCACACCCGTGAGAATGAACTGTTTGTGGGTGGAGGAGTGACGGGGGGGTCCTCTGCTCCATGGGAGAAGAGGAAATGGAGGGCAGGTACCGCGATGGCGGTGTAGGAGCAGCCCAAGGGGGTGGTCTCCTGGGGAGGTGATGGCCGCAGGCGGGAGGGGAGGGCATGGTGCAGCCAGCGCTCTGCGCGTGAGCAAACGCTGGTGCTCCGTGTTTTCAGAGGCGTTGCAGTGTGTCCCCCAACTCGTTGCCCAGCCCTTAGCTGTCTGGGAGATACTACCTCTGTGCGTGGGCTCAACCATACTCTGAATCCCAAAAAACTTCTGCTATCACGTTGCCTTGTGGCCGACTTACGTGTGGAACAGTGTTTCCTCACTTGCTCGGAAATGGGCCTTGCTAGCTGCAGGTCAGCCCCTCGCTGCTTTTTGGGGGGTTACTTTAACTTCTGCTATCACGTTGCCTTGTGGCTGACTTAACGATACGTGTGGAGCAGTGTTTCCTCACTTGCTTGGAAATGGGCCTTGCTAGCAGCGAGGGGCTGACCTGCAGCTTTTTGGGGGGTTACTTCAGCCTGTGGCTGCCTTTTTATCCTCCTGACGCCCTTCATAAGCTCATAGATGCATAGCATACTCTGCCATGGTTCCTTCTCCAGGCTGAAGGTCCTCATCTGCTTGCTCCTCTCATCGAAGAGGCTCCTTTCATTGCTCTTCTCTTCCTCCTCCAGCTCTCACCCTCAATCTCCACACCCATCTTATTAAAGGGCAGCTGGAGCAGCACATGCTGTTCAAGATACAGGTGCGCTGTGGATTTATAAGTTGCAGCACGATGTTTTCTGTGTCCCTCCCTATCCCTTCCCCAGCAATACCCTTGTTTGGTGCTGCTGCTTTCACCCAACCGCTGGCTCTGCCCCTGGCAGCGCTGCTGGGCCGTACGCCAGCCCAGAGCCCCGCCGCTCCACAGCCAGGGGCAGGATTGCTTCCCCCCTGCCACCGGGTTTATCTTCACTTGTATTTACCCACTTTGACTCTTACAGATCCCTACTTGTTTGCCTGACCCTAAGGTGGTACCACAGCGGTGGTGCCTTGCTTCGGCGCGCCGCAGCCATGCCGGGCATCATCTCTGCCGTGCCCGGCGCCATTGCCTCCCGCCAGAGCAGGGACCCTGAAACGCAGCTCGTGCTTCCAGCTACCAACCGAGCCCACATGAACTTTCTTAGTTTCAGTGTTTTCCCGTACAGGCAAAATTCCCCTTTTCCTCAAGTGCAGGAAGGCGGATGAGCGCTTGCCCCTGCCCTCTAGCAAAGAGTTGATGAATCATTTCCTTTTCCATATTTTAGTAAAATGATGGTGTCCAGAGCTCATCTAGAGCGTTGTAATGTTTTGAGCACTTGCGCTCTTCTCTTTGCTCTCTTCCTGCAATTGTCCGAAGGCTGGATTTTTTTTTTGTCTCCCTCCCAAGGGGGGGTGTTACTTGCTCGGAATTGTTGCGGGTGGGTATGTCTCTATCACTGCAAATTAGTTTTTTCCCTCATTTTCTAGTCAGCCTTTTTATTTTTATCACACGTTGGTGTCAGGGTGGTTTTAAAGCACGAATGTGTATTTCTACCAGTGAGAGTGATCTTCTACATAAAGGAAACCAGGGCACCGCTACTTGTACCTTTAGACCTTGGAGATTTTGCTCAGTTGAATATAAAGCTAGGGTTGTATTAAAAAATAAAATTTAAAAAAAATCAGAATTTTGAATAACAGACTCTTACTAATGCTGAGGTTTCTGCATGGTGAACCACTGCTTTGTGTCCTTGGCTGTTTGAGAGGGAAATTGGTGTGTCAGCAGAGAGAGATGTGTTGCTCTTAATTAGATGGAGCTGGATACATCGTCGGAGGCTCGAGTTTTGACTTAAATATTGGCTGCAGTGGGGGCAGCTCTGTATAGAAAATGGGGGTTGGCTTGACTTGTATGTATTGCTCCTGGGTTAGCGAAATAAGGAGATGAAGGGACAGTGTGATTTATTGTCTAGACACTAAAGAGGCCGTGAAAGAGGTGTATTTTCAGCATTCCTATTGTAGTCTACACAGTAAGCAAAACTGAGAACCAATATGTAAACCTAAGGAGTAAGGAAAAAAAACTGGAGTTTGCTTAAAGGTGCTGATTACAAGGGTATCTCAGCATTTAAAAAAAAAAAAAAAAAAAAAGGGGAGAGGCAAACAGGGCCGTGCAAGGGGGACGCCTGGTACCCGGCTTTTATGGGCTGTGTATAACAACCCAGGACCCGGTTTCAGCGAGCAGCGAGCTACCTGTGTTGTGAACTGCTCAACTACGGGTGGAGGTTTTTTCCCCAAGCTCCTCTTTCCTGAGGCTGATTCGTATCTGCTCTTATTGTTATCTGTTATGTTCACACGGGGTTTTTTTTGTAGGTTGTTTTTTTTTTTGTTAGTCTGTTTTCCTTCCTCGTTTTTAAAGAATAGCTTATCTCTACGCCCCAGAAGGGTGTGCCTCGCAAAGATCACAAGCTTTTCACAGGGAGCTAAAGCCGGCCTGCTGACTGCAAGAGAACATGCTGAGGTTTTCAAACACGAGTGCCACATCGCCTTTGCTTTGCAAAAGGCGGTGATCGCACCGAGATGCGCACCAGTGGGACTGGGCCAGATCCAGCGCGTAGGTTGGCACTGCGGACAGGCAAGTGAGCTTCCAGCACCACCTCACCTTGGAGAATGACTGCTTTTGTGTTTCGGTGCTCTTCACCTCTGCTGCCCTGTGCTGTGAAGGACAGGAGCAGCAGGACACGGAGGTGTTTCTGGACGCGTCGGTCGCACGCACGCGGTGACCAGAGCTCAAGTCTTGGGGTCGGAAAATGAGCCTTCAGCTGAGCTCTGCGCTGATGTGAGTGACCTGGGACCGGTCACAGAATACCTTCTCACTCTTCACCTGCCTCCGCGTGTACGTTTACTGTGCTTACATGTGTATTTCATCAGGTTACTGCAAAGCCTGTAGCAGATTGACTTCATTCTGTCAAAGTCTTAGAGTACACCCCTCCTGTTACTGAGGGTTACAGTAGGAGAAGGAGAGGGAAGACACCGATTTATCTATTTTGATTTTTTTGTCAGGAACCTGTGCAATGGATGACGGAGCAGACTCTCTGATGACTCTGCATCTTCTCACCAATTCGGGACACTCATTTCTACTGCAGCAAACTCTGGATCGGCTTTTGGAGTGGGTCTGCCCGGACGTTCGCCTTTTCCTGGTGTCTGAGCGAGTTACTCCATTGAAATACTATGAGAGATATCGTAAGAGAAGCTGCGGCTTTCCCGGAATATCTGTTCTCCTTTTTCTACACGAGGACTTGGGAGAAGAACGGATTTTCCAGGTCCATGAGCAATTCCAGCGTCCACCCTGGCGCTACCAGTGTGCCCAGATTGCTAATGGGCAAAGCCACCCCTATGCCCCAGCTGATCGGGACTTCTACGGCCTGGATGACCAGATGCCTGTGTGGGGCATCAGGCGGGTGCACTGTGGCCCCGAAATCCTGCGTGTCACCCTCTACTGCAGTTTCGATAACTATGAGGATGCGGTGAGACTCTATGAGATGATCCTACAGAAAGAAGCGACTCTGCAGAAAAGTAACTTCTGTGTCTTTGTGCTGTACGCAACCCAAAATATCACCGTGCAGCTCTGCTTGAAGCAGCTGCCCATCGGGGTGGCCGTGGAGCCAAAGGAGTCATCAGCCCTGCAGTTCAAGGTGCAAGAAATGGGGCAGCTGGTGCCCCTCCTGCCTAACCCGTGTGTTCCTATCAGTAGCACTAGGTGGCAAACGCAAGACTACGAAGGAAATACCATTCTGCTTCAGGTATGTGTCTGTGGTGCTCCGAGAGGAGGAGTTTGGTGGTTTGTTTTGGTTTTTTGTTTGTTTTTTTTTTTTCAAGGAAAACAGGACTGTTTCAAAATGGGAACTTAAGATTTTTGCTTGTTCATATTTTCTTTTGAATTTTGAATGCAGTAATCAGTATCTGCCAGTGCTGTGATGCTGTTGATAAATATAAGCACAGGTCCTTGGAATCTTTTTATATTGTTAAATTAACATCTTTACTGCTTCTCTGAAATGAAAACTATTAATGCTTTTTTGAGCAGGCTAGTTTAACATCTTCCCTTCCCTGCCTGAATCAAATGATCATAGCAGCCTATTCTTTTTTTGATAAGTCATTACATCATAAATGTTTTTGAAAGCCGATTTTTAGCATCCAAAACCAGATGTATGGTAAGTACAGCGTTGATACAACATTGCCTGCAGTAGATTTTATGAGCTCTTGAGTGAGTTACGGATGGGCAAAAGTGCCAAAGAAATGTGTCACAGGAAATCTCTGCCTTTTCTGTTCAAGTATGCGATCCAGAGGTTGTATGAATACAAATAAATAAAAAAGCAACAAAAAAGACTGTGCTGAGAGGATACATAGTGGGAATTCTACATGTGAGCAGGAGCTCAGTGTGCTTTCTTTCCACTCTAACAACCCCTCCCACCTCTGATTATTTTCTTCTTGTAATTTGGATATTTAAATAATTTGCCCATCCTGTGTGGTTTTGGGTTGGTTTTTTTTTTTCCACTTCCAGAGCTCATTTACTACAAATCAGCTTAATTATTCTGTACAGCCTATTTTTATGCTACTCTGAACACCAATCCTCAGGGCAGCCTTTGCCTACTCCTCATTCAGTATCACTTTATAAACTGGCTTGTCACCCACTTGGGCTGGACAAGACCCTGAGCATCTTCACATGGCCTTGAAGTTGGTCCTGCCTGGAGCAGGGGACTGGGCCAGGTGACCTCCAGAGGTCCCTTCCTAAGTTACTCTGTGGTTCTTGCTGTAGATACAAGGTCTTTAAGTTGACAGATGTACACGAATTCATTGGCAGGAAATTCGGAAGCTTTTTTGGGGTTGTAGCTGTGCTGCACTCTGCTCCTGGCGAAGGAAGCTGGAGTCTACTTGAACTCGAGGATGTGTATCTTGTGTTGGTGCTCCATGCAGCACGCGGACAGCCTGGCATGCAGTGCTTTATTCTGCAACTCTTTGCTTCATACTGTAAATCTTTATTCTAAGTACCTGCAAATGATTTATTCCCCCGCCCCCAACTTTCTGCCTTATTGCAAACCAAATCCAAGGGTCTGCTTGTAGACTGCCACCCACACGGAGTTGTCATGCCCCTCTGAGCCTGCAAGAACTCCTTTTTTGCTTTTATTGAGGAAGAGATAACCCAAGCCACCTAGTTTGATAAAGAAGGAAATAAACTACATGGTCTCCTTTTTTTTTTTTGCTGAAGTTGCTGGCTACTGTTCTATACCATGTCCTTTCTCAGAGTGTTTACAGGAGATCCCTGTTGCTCAAATTTTCCAAGATTAGCCTTAAGACTCAAGTAGAAGTCTTATATAGGAGAGTAGGACTGTCTCCATGTGCTGTTTTGTAAGTAAAGACATGAAACATGTCTGTAGTCTTGCAGAGCCTTTCTCAGGCTTGTAAGACTCCTGTGCTGTTCTCTAGTCTCACGCTGCAGGTGATTTTGGCAGAGTGAGGCTGGGTGAGAGCATCCCCACTTGGTCAAGCAAGAATGATATGTTAACGGGATTCTCTCCAATTTTTCTTCAACAGGTTCAAGACAGCTCCAAGCCCCATGAAACAAACGTTGGGCTTTCCCACCAGCATAATGATGGAGGCAATGAAAAAACCCTGCAGGACTCTGTCCCAGCGCCTCTCCCTGTAAAGCGGAGTAACCCTGGGTGGAGAAGCCAGGAGGTCAGAGCCATGAAGAGTAAAACAAGATCTGACCAAAGGACAGCCCTTCCTCCTGAGCAAGCCAGCGGTGACCTCCACAGGCACTTCTGCTCTTCTCACAGTGGCCCAGCAACCCGGCCGTGGTGGGATGCCCCCTCCCTCCGCCGGCAGGCGAGCAGCAAGCTGCAGGCTCCCTCCACAGGCACTTCTGCTCTTCTCACGGTGGCCCAGCAACCCGGCCGTGGTGGGATGCCCCCTCCCTCCGCCGGCAGGCGAGCAGCAAGCTGCAGGCTCCTCGCCAGGAGAGCCGTGGTCGTCGGCAGGCAGCAGAGACCAACGTTGACACCGGGCTCCCTGTGGCGAGTCCTGCAAGCGGCTCCCCCCAGCCACCAGCACCCACGGATGGGGCTGGCGGCACCATGCCCTCCCAGGACAGGACCCCGCTGCGGTTCGCTGCAGCCAAAAGGAGCAAAGGAGCAGGGCAAAGAGCTTCGGGCTCCCACTCGCAGCCGCTGCCCGCCAGGCCCCCTAACAGAG